AGTGTTCTATGTGAAATGTTCTTCCCTTCATGCCTATTTCTATTTTAGGTTTCATAAAGTAGTTATAATGTGGTTATGTGAATAATTGCATTAAATTAAGAAAAGCATAGTGTAAGGAATTTGAGGGAATATATAAATATATATAAGTATATTGAGAACATATAAAAATAATACAATGGTCCTTTTTTTATTCCCTAACTGTTCTTGCTTCATACTAATTTAGCATGCTTAGATCCCATGGGGTTTCACTGTAACTACTTGTACAAGATGTGCCTCAGACCCTTGTGTGTTTACAGTGCAGTCCTAATTCAATAGGCAATTTTAACTTCTTAGTAGTATTATAAGCTTTTACCCAAATACATGTATAATATGTACCTAGAGTGTAGAATTCATTCATTTACACATCCATGCATCTACTTATTCAATAAACGTTATGGAGGATCTGCTACGTTCTAGTGTTCCATCTGGGCTATTGTGGATTTCATTTTAAAGTGAAACAGACAATGCCACAATGATAAATGGTAAGAAAGGAAGTGAAGTATTTGTTATGTTTTAGATACTGTATGAAATTTTAGGGTTTGCCATTATTCATAAAGACCAATAACGAGGCTATGGGGGATAACTCAAGTTAAAAAAAAAATGTTGTTTCTCCAGAGATTAGGAGAATAACCTAGAAACAACCAGGAGAATAGAGCATTGAAAGAACTATGTGGCCATCAAAACCAATGAATTTCAGAAAAAAAATCTGAAGCAAATAAAAACCACTATCATTCCTCAGGAAGCAATGTCTCATCTTTGGAGGTTTGGAGGTAGACTAAATTGACCACCTGAGAATGTTGTGATAGAAATATTTCAACATAACAAAAATAGTCAGGACATATTGTACTTAAGTTTGTTTCAACCTCAAATTGCAATAAATACCAAGAGGAGGTAACAGCATTCATACTTTTCAATAATTATGAATTATTCTTTTATAGAAAATGTGTGAAGAGAATGGTATGTCAGAGCATGGGAAGGAAATGAAATAGGAAATTCAGAAATAGCTATGAAACAACAGAAATAATTACTTGATCAATTTGATGAGTCATTCATTTTTAGAGTATTAAATTTTCAGAGAGGCAGGTGAGGCAGGGAAGAAATTCATGAAAACCATGATGACTATTTCCTTGAAAATAAGTACCTCATTAAACTATATTTCATGCAAAAAAATC